CAAAATTGCGACTGCAGTATATCAGTGGCAACATCAATATCATCATCTTTCATGACTAAACGAAATAACACAGGAAACTTGTTCAAAAAGTACCTTATATCAGAAAGAGATGCATTTGCTAGAGCAGAAACATCAGCAACTTTAGCATGCAAAATCACTTCATCGTTGACTGGAAATTTATGGAGTATGTAATCATCACTTACTCAAAAGAAGTAACTTCTAACTTATTTTTGTCTTCTTCTGAAAGTTCTTCCACCACTTTTGCAATTGCAGCTCCTATTACCAAATCTTTATCTTTCTTCTGATTTTCTATTTCACCATAAATCACATCATATATAGAATTACAAGACAAAACACACACTGGTTTTACAAACTTTGATAAAATGTCTTATCAAACAGATCATAAATCATTGATTACAAAACATGAATTAATGGAATTCTGCTTTGTAGAAATGTGTTAAGAACATCGAATGATGGCAAAATGAATTATAAAAAAAAAGCAAAAAGCTTTGTTAAGATCCATAAAAAAAACATTAATATTCGTTCTTCACAAGATAAACTTACAGTAATCGGAAAATATTTCGTGTGTTGAGCAATTTTTTTTTATTTTGAGAGAAATTTGTATCAGGCTTTACGCTTATATTTTGCAGTATTATTTTAAGAACTGCCAGTTGAATTGCTGAATGGTGCAGAAATTACTTTATTTTTCTCAAACCTATTTTTAACAATGGAAGTAGTAACTACATCTCCATTTACTTTAGGTACTTTATAATTTTTAATAGTCTTTTGTCTTAATTCTCGAAGCATTTACTTCTTCTTTAAAAAATGCAAGAAGTGGGTTCCATTGATCAAAGATTCTAATAAGTATTTCTTTAAAGACAGCCAGTGTATACACGCGTTTAAAAATTTTTCTCATTTCAGTATTATGCAGCTGTTGGAACTGTTTCAATTTTTCCTTCCTTTTAGAACTCCTTTCAAGATAATAATAAATATCAACAATGTGTTCATCCACATTTATTGGTAAGGAAGCTGCCCCTTTTCAGCTGCTAAATTTAAGAGGTGACAGGTGAACCTCATAATTTTCAAATCTGAATTTTCCTTTCTTAAGATGCCTGCAACAACAGTCTTCATGCCTACCATTACTGGTGCATTATTGGCACCAAGTGCTACGCAATTATCCAGAGGAACTGCATTTTCTTTTAAAGTTTTAATAATTAGCTGTGCTATATTAAAGACTGTCAAATGTCCTTCTAAAGTGGGGACAGAAAGTAAACTGCACTCAATTTCTGAAGACTGGATTAAAAAAAGGAACAATAATTGGTTACAGTTTTGAATCGGTATTATTGTTTCCGTAGAGAGACAGAACGGAGCTGTTTTAATGAAATCAATAACTGAAGATTTATTTTTCAAACCCATTTCTTTAACAATTGCACCTGTTTTGGTCCTTGCACTTGAGTATTTCTTAGCGATTTCACTATCGGGAAACATTTTCTAAATAAAGCTGCAGCGTGATCCAATGCATTCAGTGGCAGGTTGTGCTTCAGTAAAAAGGCAGAGAACAGACATTCTGCATTAATCACTTTTTGGTCCTTTGTTTCCAAAGAAAAATTTAATTTTTTGTTTTTTTCAAAACAATTCATGTTGTCCTTGTGTTTTTGTGTACGCAAATGTTTGAGCACATTCGCCCTTCCACCATGTGAAATTGAAAAATCACAACGACAGGTAGTACACATCGCAAATTTATTACATTTCCTTGAGGAAATAATGGAAGGAATGTCAACTGTGTACGATTTTTGAAATGTGCATGAGTATTTCACCTTTCTTGCAGACATAAAAAAAGATGATGATTTCTAAAACTATTTCCCGAAGGCACGTGTATGCACACAACTGAGGACAAGATGAACGAAATAACTAAAGAACATCCAAATAACAGCCTTGAGCTTGCTTTGTGCTCATTGGCTAATATATGCCAGATGACACGCAGAGGAGCTCGATGCTCATTGGAGAACTGGAGAACGACGTTTCTGGACATGAATGCTCTCACTAACAAAGCAGAAATTCTCATCTTATTCGCAAGGTTTTGTTTCAGATATAATCTAGAGAAAATTCAACTGCTTTCAGTGAATTTCAGTGAATTTTCAGGCAAATTCTCAAGAAACATCTCAGCAAGATGGATTGTATAGCAAAAGAGTGCATGATTAAGAATGCTATAAAAGAGTGGTTCTACGATAAAGAATTAGAATATATATGCACAAGACTATTACAGTTAATGCCTAAGCACATTATAGAGATCATTTGTATTAAAAGAGAGCATATTTCCTATTAAATTTATTATTATAACTGTATATGAAGGTATATTCTTAACTTTTAAAAAAAAAATCACTTTGCTCTAATTAATTTACTCACTGTAATATCAGCAAAACTTTTTAAAATACAACAGTCTAAAAAATTAAGATTTTAACATGCATCATTTTTTACACAATGAACTTAGCATTGGAACACAAATTTTCCATAAAAATCAAAATCACTTTTTTTTTTTTTTTTGGTGTGTGTGTGTGTGTGTGTGTGTTCATGTAACGAAGTATTAAGCCAACTTCCATAAAAATCGTGAGAAATATTAAGAATAAGAAAAAGTTGGGAGAAATATATTGTAAATCGGGTTGGCGGGAGAGTGGTCGAAAATCAGAAGTCCCTCACCTAAATCGGTAGAGTTGGCAACTCTGCTAATAGATATAGCATTATTAATCCAATAAACAGTAACAAAGACCTTAAAAAGGATCTACTATGTCTTGGTATCAATATTCACTCTTCAAATGTATAGCGTAGACTTCTTACTGCTAGTGAAAAGGTGAGAAAGCCAATTAAAAGAACACAATCTTTGACATGTCAAATGAAGCAAAGAAATTATTGTGAGCCAAAAAATACAAATCCTGGACCATAAATGATCGCGAAAAGGTCATTTTCAATGATAAGATTCATTTATTTGTTCATGGTTACATATCTAACACTGTTAGAAGAAGTAAAGATGAATCAATAAGACCACAACTTATCTGCCAAACCATAAAATACCCTCAAAAACAAATGTCTTGGGGATTTTTTTTACAGCAGATGACACTGGAAATCTAGTTTCTAATGATGGAATGAAGAATTCATCAAAGTATATAGAAATTTTAAAACAAAAATTTGTGACATTCTCAAAATTTTTGCAGGGACATTTTAATGTTTCTTGCTCCCATGGCACAATTCAAAATCTGATAGAAGGTTCATGTTGGAAAATAAAATTATTGTGCTAGAATGTCCTGCAAATGCAACAGACTTAAGTCTCATTGAAAATTTGTGGCAAATTCTCAAGAAACATCTCAGCAAGATGGATTGTATAGCAAAAGAGTGCATGATTAAGAATGCTATAAAAGAGTGGTTCTACGATAAAGAATTAGAATATATATGCACAAGACTATTACAGTTAATGCCTAAGCACATTATAGAGATCATTTGTATTAAAAGAGAGCATATTTCCTATTAAATTTATTATTATAACTGTATATGAAGGTATATTCTTAACTTTAAAAAAAAATCACTTTGCTCTAATTAATTTACTCACTGTAATATTTGCCGAAATAATGCTGCATGAATCATGTGAAAGCAAAATACTGAGATAATGTAAAGCAGAGAGGGACATGAGTAGGTAATTCATGTTTACTTGGTGGTATTTCTGCTTACCTGGTCAATCAGCAAAATTTTTTAAAATACAACAGTCTAAAAAATTAAGATTTTAACATGCATCATTTTTTACACAATGAACTTAGCATTGGAACACAAATTTTCCATAAAAATCATGAATCACTTCTCATACAATAAGCAATAAACAAAGCCAACAAAAATGATTTAGTAACAAATTAGAACATTTGTTGTTACTGATAAAATGGAAGCTAAATTACAGTAAACCAGAAGATTATGATAATGAATTTCAGCTTGAAAAACATGAAGGCAGATTCAAAATTACAGACAGCTGGAAACAAACTAAGAGGATAAGTGAAGCAAAAACAGGCTTTTAAATTTATGAATAAGAGATCTTTTACTAATTTATGCTTACTTGTAAAGAATATTATTAACCATAATGAGAAATCTATATGCAGTACAATTCAAAATTTAGCAATTTTTACCAGCCTTACTTTAATTTACTTTATAATTATAAGATATTTTAATATATTTTACCCCCCTTGATTAAACATACCAGAATTACTTTCTCATGCCAAGCATATCAGTCACATAAAAACACTTTCTAGTTGTTTTTATTCATAAGCAAAGTCATTGTTAAAGTTTTTAATCTGTGTTTTCTCAAAGATTAATTACTTCTTCATTTTCCTCTTCTCATCACACTAAATTTTCTATATTTTCACTGTCTGTGCTTAAAATTTTTCTGTGCAGCTTAAAAACTACTGCTCAACAGCATAATCCAGCTCTACTTAACACGTTGAGTGCCATGTGTGTTTCTTAGACAATCCGTTTAGGCCACATGCACCGCTCAAAAGCGCTGGTCTTGTAGGGCCAGGAGCAATGGCCAGAAAAAAAGACTAAGAGACTTGTCACGTTTTGTAATAGCTGTAATGGCAAACCATTTTTATGTTTACCGTGTTTCAGTGAAATCCAGTAGTCTTGTAATGAATCAAAATTAAGTAAATTTTAAATAAATTTTCTGTAATTCCACAAAACAGTGTAAATTTTATAGTTATATATCATGTTACATGCTGTCAGCCAGCGGTGGTCGACACGGCCTAAACGGAAAGTTTATTGTCAGCCACAAATGGCTGACATGGCGCTCAACATGTTAAAAATTCACATTTCAAACTAAAGAATTTTTTTATAAAGCAGTCATTAACAATATTATTTTACAAAACATTATAACAAGCATTAGATAAACATTTCTATTTTAAAATTAAAGGAACAACAGGAATACATAAACATTGATGCAAAAACAGAGAAAAAGATATTTAATTTACCTCAAAATCTATAATTGGTGCATTAGTAACTGGTGGCAAAGGAATAGTTGTGATTCCTCTTATAAAATCACCAAGATCAGATCTTATTTTCAATTTTCCATCACCAGCAAAGGACCACAGTAATGCATAGACTAAACAGCGAGGGATATATCGATCTAACTGATCTTGCTATAAAAATACCAATAAGTCAGTTTAGAAAACAAGAAAATCCATATAAAATAATAAGCTTAAATAATACACACAACTGCAGTAATATGTTTATTTTGCAATTTTCATACAAGCAAACTTAGTAGAGCAATGCATACATAGCATGAAATTTCTAACTTCTAACAATGACAACCTGATTTAATTTATCAATGCTAACACAGTCTCCTCTTAGATTAACATTATGCTACTGTGGCTTCAAAATAAAGAGAAACACAAAACTGATGATTACTTTAAGTAGGTTTTTCACACATATTTTAAAGTCATATATAAGTAAAAATTGGACTTGGATGATCAAATATTTTTTAATACAGTACACTACATGTTTCAGTTCATTCAAACATGAATAAAACTTGGTGTTTCTTTTATAAAAACAAATATACAGTATTCAATATATTGACATTTTAACAATGCTCTATGGACTGAGAATAAAGAAAGGCAAGTGATTGTTGTATTAAATAGCAAGCCAGTCAGTTCTTAACATTCAAGGTTGATATACAAGTTGACAGCAAGAAAATCATACACTAAATTCAATATCAGTGCTGAGGAATAAACTGTTTGACAAAAGTTAATTTGTTGCAGGAAATAAAATGCAATTTTCTATGAATAAGTATCTGAATTAATTAATCAATTACATAATCAAAATATCAAAGAACTTAATAATTAAAATGATAAATCTCTATATTACCTGCATAGGAAAATCAGGATGACTGTGATTATAATTCAAAACATTTCGACATGCTTGGTTCAGCATTGAGAATAAAGAGCCAAGGGCTCGAAGCCGTGTGAAATCCATTACATGTTCTTGATTTGATGCAAATTCTAAAGCTCGAACAACTAAACCATCTGATGTAAAATGTGGGCTAAGTATTGTAGCAACATCTCGTTGAACCTGAAAAATATTTTTCTTCTTATTTTATATTTCAAGAAGAGTATCTAAAAACAAAGAATAAAATTTCCCATCTATACTGCTTTAAATTTCACTTAAAAGCATTCCTCTTAAATTTAGTTATCTAGTTATCTATGCAGTATATAGAGATAGACAGAAAGATATGTGTAGCTGCTCAAAAACATGGCTATCTTGTTACATTATCATGCGTTCCCAACATCTTAAAGAGATGTTATAAGATATGTAAGACACTGATTTTTATTTCTCTTGAATTATTTATTAGTCTTAGCTCTCATACTTTGTTATATTGAATTCCGGTTGATCTGTGAAAGATTACAAAAAAAGCTTTGCTTTATCCTTTATATAGATTCAATCTCATTTAGCCAAAAACATTTTAACTCTTTCATAATTAACTGCAACAATAAATACTAAAAATAATGTAAGGATTTTAAATTAATAAAAAAGAAGCAAGATTAAAAACAACTTCTAGAAACATGGACATTCAAACAACTCTAAGTTCAAACCAGAAATATAAGAATAATACAAAATACTAAAAAATTTCAGACAAATAAATATTAATTTCACCTGTAATGTAGGAGACAAAAGATCTTCTTTGAGCGTATCTTCTTTTTTCTTTTTATAAGATATTTCTTCCTCAACTTCCTCTAAAGGAATATGTCGGAGTTTTAATAAAAAGTTCTCAAAAATCATTTCAGTTGATAGCACATCTTCACTAAACCATATCATTCCACAACGGGACACAGTAGCTAATGTAGCAAACTTCAAATCTTGTACTTCAAACATTATTCGTACCTAGGGAGAAGGGAGTTTAAACATGAAATTAGAAATTTACACTACAGAACAGACAAAAATACAACTAATTCCCTAGTTTAAAATATAATTAGAACATACTTTTACAATATCATAGCTGCCAACTGTGAAATGTTTTTAAAAAAAGAGAGGAGATAAGCATGTGTGAACAAGGAGTTTCCAGGAAGTTTTCATTTTGCAAGGTGTTGTTGTTCAACAGAAACTCCAAACTGACATAAATTCACTTTATATGTATGATTTAGGTTATTGAACTATTTACAATATGATTCTGATGTAAAACATATAAGATTTAATCAGATATTTTACATGGTGTGCTCTTTAATGTAATTAATTTCAATTTATAATTTTCTTACACTTTAATACGAAGGAAATCCTTAGTAATCTGAAAAAAGATAAAATTTTTATTATCAAAATACGTTTAAATGTAATGAAATTAAAATTAATAATTAACATACATACCATTGTGAGAATACACTTAGTAATGTATCATACACTGATGTAAAAGAAATGTGAATATTAACTGATTAAACATTAGTTGAACCTTCATAAAAAGTTCTATAAAGTCTTCAGTAGATTAATTCAGATAAAAAAAAATTTTTTTTTTCATAGAAATTATGTTGAAAATCACTCGAAGGTGGGGGAGTGAAACTTAACAATTCAAGTTTCATTTGTTCAACCAATGAAATTAAAAACTGGGAGATGGAAAACTGAGAGAGTTGGCAGGTATGTGGTATATAAAGGGGAAACAAAAATACAGTAATACAGTACAAAATCTTTAATCCGGACTTGTCGGGATTCCGGATTAGAGGTTTTTTCAGATTATAGATCATCAATTTAAATCTGGTAAGATGGCATGCAGAAATTATAAAATTAAAAATATGGAACTGTAATATAAGAAATAAAGAGAAATTATGATCTAAAAAGTATAAAATTTTACACACAAAATTTTGGTTTCTTTTCTTCTTTATTAAACATTTTTTTCAACGTGCGCATGCGTAAAGCATACATTACGCATAGTCGAAATTAGAAAATTGCAACCAGAAAACTATTTGATATGTATTTGTGATATTTATAATGATGAGAATATTTGATTTAAATCATATCAAAGACGGAGTACATCAAGATGAAACACTACATTTAGTGAATAAAATAAAAACATCTGATCTGAAGATGAGGATAGTGCTGACAGATCAACTTCCGGTTCATTGCGCACTGCAACGCAAAAAAAGCTCCATATTTTTTATGAAGTGGCAAAAATCTACATACTTATAGAATTGAATTCACTGAACAAACAAACTGTGATAACATGAATTGATACTATTAAATACATTTCACAAATAATTCACTAGCTTACAGAATTTAAATAATAATTTTCTATCACCATTAAGAAAAGTGTATTCAATTTCTTACATTGGGTGGCAAACTCAAACGTTCACCATTTGGCAAAGTCAAGAGTTTATTGTCATCAAGAACACTATTTAAATTTTCAACCCATTCTGGATCTACATCACCATCAAATATGATCCACTGACGCTTACTGATTTCACCACGGACATTATCAATTATTCTGAAAAGAAGCAAAAATTACTGTAATTTCTTTTCACAGATATAAACTTCTAAATCAAAAATAATATGGATGAATCTCAGGAAAAGAGATTTAATAAAATAACACCACATACTTTCTTAGAACATGGGTGAATAATCCATCCGTCCATTCTCTTGTATTTGGATCAAGGGTTCCATACAAAGCTTCTTTGGAAATAGCCTAAATTCAAAAGCATACAATTCATAAGTATTTCATTTTGAGCAATGTTCATATGCATCATTTAACATCAAATTAATAAAACATTTCAAAATTTTTAATTTTTTTAAATACCTTAGGATCTATGACATGAGCAACACCTTCTACTCCTTCAAATCGTTCTAATGCTTTAAGAAGAACATGCCATGCAGTTGATTTTCCACTGCCACTGGGCCCAACCATCATCAAACCATGATTCAATTGTGAAATTTGGAAAAGTTGAAGAACCTGAAAAGAAGGAAAGTCTCATCTAAACAGAATGGATTTTTGCAAGCCTCTGAAGAAAAAATAATAATAACATCTATAAAACTTTATAGATTTGCTTTTATCAAAAACAATTTAAGCAACATGGTATAATAAAAGATTATTATTTGATATTAAAATACTATGTTTGTAATTTTTAAATATTTAATAGTACATAAACATATCTTCTAAAATAAAACAAACAAAGTCTTTTTTGATTCTGAACAACAGTTATGAAAGAAAGGAATATTTTATGTTGAATATGTATTTTTAATATTTTGCTTCAGAGGAAAAAAACAGCAAATTATTCAGCTTTAAATAACTAAATAAAAATACATCATGCCACAAATATTAAAAGTATTTCATCTTTAGGCTTAATATATTTGCATTTATAGGAAATATACAATCAAGAATATACAACACAAGGAAATATACAATCATATTACTTTCTCCATCCAAAGACCACCAATTTCCTCATTTTCCCCACAAACAAGAAACATTTCCTGGCAGACTTTTCTTATCTGCTCCTTTAAACCTTTCATCTCAGCCCTAGTATATGATACACCAGGAAATACATCAGATAAAAGCGAGAAGAGGAGTGGTATATCTTCTGCCACAAGTTTTGGAACCATAGTTTCACATACACTCTGTATCAAAATCTAAAACAGGAAAAAGAAGTTTCTTGTGGTTCAGAATAACAAAAACATACTGAAATAACTTTAAATTTTTATATATATATATATATTCATGACATTATGTAAAATTCATTACAAATATAAAAAGAAAATAAAACAAAATAAACTGGCCCTATAAACAAGATCATTCACAGATTTTTCACATAAGCTTCTCTTACACTAATTAATATCTCTAATACTTATAACATGACCATTAAAATACCAATATATTAAATTCAATACCAAAATATTAACCTTAAAACATAAAAACAGTTGTATTTCTAATTGAAAATATGAAGAATGCTGAACATTTACTATAATTATTTGAAAAATACAAAGAAAAAAATTAGTAGTTATTTTTTAAATTAATAAAAAAAATACCAAGTAGTTAAAATCAGGGAAAGTTTTCTCTTTTTGTTACATTATTCATACAGAATTTTTGAGATAGTTAGCTACAAGCTTTAGTTTTTAACTATTCACTATGCGTATGTACTTCTTCCTACCAAGTTTTACTGGATAAAGTAAAGAATTTCATTAGAATGGTTTCAGCTAAATTGGGAACTGGATGTTTTTGATAACACAAAATTTATTAAAAGGTAACTTATAAAGTAGGGGCTCTGAATGAGAGGGGAATTTCATAGTTTCAAGATGAGAAACGCAGTCAACATTTTATTTAGCTATTGTGTATTTAGTTTTAACTTATGAATATAAAAAAATTACTTTTATTCAAGTTTTGATATTTATCATTAAGTAAATGTACACTAGTGTGCAAAAATTTAGGACAAGATGGTTTTTTCAATATAACGTTGTGTGAAAGCTTTCCAAATCAACACATATAATAGCATAAGATCCCCAAGACTTAAAAACATTGGTAATGTTTCCCAAGACACTGGTGTAACATTGGTGTGAAACTTCCCAAGAAAGAAATCAAAAGGATAAAAAGGAACTTTACTGGAAAAGTTGCATGGAACACAATGCGACAGAAGGCCGAAACATCCATGTGACAGGTGTCCAGAAAGAAGCAACCAGTTTTTAGTAGGGGATATGAACTCTCCTGACTGCTGTCAAGGTTTCACATTGCCTGTCCATGCTGAGTATGATGTTGCCAATGAGTTGTTGAGCCACTGCTGCCCATTCCTCTTGTTGTGCTTATCACAGGCTCTGGAATCATTATTGGTAATAAATTACATGCTGCCACGCTCTCTCCCTGTTAAGTCCTATACGTGCTCGATGAAATTTAGATTTGGAGAACTTGACGGCCAATTCATACATTCAAAATTCCTCACTCTCCAGTGACTCTTTGACAGCAACTAAGCGATGAAATGGAGCATTGTCATCCATGAAGAGGACTTGAGGACCCATAGCACCTCTGAAAAGATGCACGTAAGGAAGGAAAACCTTGTTACAATAACGGGCCCCAGTGCTTGAACCTCCTTGGAAGATGTGAAGGTCATAAAGCTAGCAAGCATGATGTTTCTCCAAATGAGAACTCCACGACCTCCAAACCGGTCTCTTTCGATGCTGTTGGAGCGGTTATAGCGTATTCCCCACTCTCTTTAGCTTGTAGGTGTCTAGAATCACTACTCAGACTATATCTGCTCTCATCCATAACGAGTACTTCGCTCCATTGGTTATCTGCCCGATTCTGGTGTTCCCTGCACCACAGAAAATGCCTTTTCTGATGAGCAAACATTAATGGTATACACTGCATATGTCGTCGTGCTAACAGACCACCACTTGGCAGCCTCCTGGCATGGTAAAACACAATATCGGTCATCCAATCATCTGCTCCATGTGTCTTGAGATTTCACCCATTTTCTGCAGCTTGTTCCTTCTTGCCTGTAAGGAAATACACCGGTCATCTGCTGCCGTAGTTGCTTGTGGATGAGAACTACTGAACTGTCGGACAATTGTTCCTGCATTTTGAAATGCTTTTCAAAGTCATTAAACAATGCAGTGAGCAATTCTGAACTCTGCACACTTGTCACACTTTGACCTTCCTCAGTCTTTCCAATGATTCGACTTTGAAGTACAATCATTAAGATTGATTGTTTGACATTTCACACTGAGGCAGCAACTCAACTTCATTTAATTTGATATACACCGTGCAATAGCTTACCAGAAATGCTGAGCTCACACTGCCGGCAAACTTTATACTCCTCCGACACTCCCTCATTGTGTCTAGCTGCATGTATGTGCATGTACTACTGTAACTGAACCTGATTAATCTCCTGACTGGTGTTTCAGTCCTCTGTGCCTCTTCTTTCTACTGATAAGCTAATTTTTCATTTTCATCCTTAATTTTTGTACACCTGTGTAAATATGTTATTTTTCAAGTTTGGGAAAGAGGAGAATAATATTCTGCAATGCTGAAAGGGGTGCATGAGGCACAATAGGTTGAGAACCACCGCATAGAGTGAAAAGACTAGTTAGAAAAATATTTAATAGTACTTCAAAAACCTAAATGCAAAAGAATTCTATACTTTTATATGAATATTTAGTGAGAATTGTTCAGTGGGCAATTATTTCTTGGAATCAACCACAATGCTAGAAATAAGTACTATTTTACTCAAATATGGTCTCATTAACAGTATTCTATCTAGCAAATGTTACAGAATATTATATTAAACAGTATATTGATATAAATACTTTCAAATGAGTTTTAAAAATAATTACTTAAATTTAGTTATTAATAAAAATCCTGAAGTCATTTGAACAAGTAAAAGCTGAAGGGCATTTAGACTCAGATAAGTAACAATTTCCATTATTAAGTGTTTACTGAATTACTCTCAGTTTATACAATTAGCACTGTCTTACTGAAGAAACACAGTAAATACACTGATTAGATCAGCTTGTGGTTAAAGAGTTTATAATTATGTGATATTCAGATGTCTACATTAACAGTTTCAGGGGTGTTTGTATAACCCTGAAAAATCCCCTGAAACTTTTACGGACTTACTACCGACATTTTGGAGTTTCGAGAAGGGGGGGAGAAATGAAAAATTACAATTATGAAGTACTGAATGACCTAATTATAAAAGATCAATGAATTACTTTTTTTTTGCAAAATTAATAACCATAAATTTTCAAACATATAAACTACTACATTTTATGTAAATATTTTAAATTACCTGAATTAATTCTTTAAAAAAAAAAAAAAAAAAAAAAAAATCTAATTTCTGCAGCTTTATTTTATTTTCTGATGTTTGTGGGCTTGTCTTTCTTTTGTGTTGAACTTCATAATTGCAGGAAGGTTGACTTTTATTTTCCTCCTCATTTACACAGTTGAAGAAATTTCCTCGCGAGAACTGCACATGCAGAGGTAGAAGCAGTTTGCTTTTCTGCTAATGTGGAAGGTTTTTCAGAGACTTTTATAGGTAACTCATCTGAAATACATGTTTTTAAGTCCTCTTGATATGTTTTCCAACTTCTGTTCATATTCAGTAAGAGATCTTTGTGAATTGGATCAGTCATTGAATTTTTGAGCCATATTTTTCACATGAGGTTTCTTTAGAAGCCATTAAATCATATTTAATAGTCTGCACTGCATCTAGGGAATCAATCTTAAGAGAGGTTCTATAGTCAGTGACAAGTGTATCCATTAAGTTGAATGCACTTTCCACTAATGGGCCATTAAAGCAGCTAAGGCAGGCTTTGACCAATTTAGCCAATGTAGGATACTTCTAATCATTTGTGAAATCATCTTTTAAATTAAAAACTTTAGACCAATATTTATCAATTGTACACTTGACTTGATTTCCACTTTCATCAGATGTGTAGAGCATTTCTTTGGTGATATCAATATCACTCTGGTATAACCTTATTTCAGCTTCTACTTTTGACTTTTCATTATCACTAAAAATATGGGAC